TCAGAGACAATAAGAAGTACTCTCAGTATTTTTCTGGTACTTGAAGAGGGACTTGAAACTGCACAGATACAAATCTGGAGGTACATGAAAACACATAATCCTGAGTTTGTTTAATCATAAAAATGACAAGCATCATCCATTAATAAATAGCTCACATTTATTAAGCTACTACTGTGTGCCAGACTGTGGGGTCCACTTCTTATATGGATTATGTCATATAAGATGTCATATAAGAGTCACAGGAACCCTGTGCAATAGGAAATGCTATTACCCCCATTTTTGGTAGATGGAGAGATGTGTCACTAAGATCTTCCTTCAAGAGAGGGCTTACTGACCTAACTGCTAAAAGGCTATAAGCAGGCAGTTTTTGCCACCAGATACAGACTACCTAAAGTCTCCTTGCCCAAAGTCATGCCCTTCCCAGATGGCTCATATCCAGGGACCGATCAGGTGGGGGCTATCTTCGCTTAATACAGGATAATTCCAATGGTTTATTTTACCTTTGGAGCTCTCTGTAGGATGAGTCAAGACTGAGATCAGCCCTGCTTCTCACTCACACTTCCTTACCTTCTCTTCCATAGGTGTTGATCTCATGGACATAACATTCTGAGAAACATCCCTAAAAATATCCAGCACACTAAAGTCCATTTCAGAGTCTGCTTCCCAAAGAACCCACCCAAAAATACCATTTTACAGATGATATGATAAAGCAGGAACCCCCTGGTTAAACCCATCACTTGGCATGGATGCTGGGGGGCAAGACTGCTTAAATATATAAATCTTACTTAAGATCACCAAGGCTGATCTGGAATTTAGAACTGGACTCTGGTCTAGGAAAGGAGGCTGGGAAGGCCCTGTTCGGAGAGCCATGGAAGCCTGTGAAAGCTAGGCTGGAGCCCAACCTCTATTGAGAGCAAACAAGTCCAGTTCTGCTTGGTGTCCAGCATGACTATAGGAGATGACACACAGTTGCAGTAGTATATATAAGAAAGAACTTTATCTCATTCTCTCCAACTCATAGCCTCTTTGCTAAGAGTGTCAGTTAAAACAAAAACAAAAACCTAAAACAAAGAATCTGGGCATTTTAGCACATGGTTAACTACAGAAAGAGCATCTTACAAATCTAAGTCCTTTATTTTGGCCTGCAATGTTTATGTTGCACAGATTTCATGTTAACTAAAATTATTTCCAGTAAGAGGTACAGGAAGACTAATTTATGCAATTGTTTGTAATCATCACCTCCCGTGGTCTTTTGAAATATTATATTTGAAGCTATTATGACTTTTTTAAATTGCATTTTAATGAATTCCTTGGGGGGACACTGTGATTAAAAGGCATGATGCCTACTAAATGATGAACTAATAAAACATTCTATAAGAAAGAATTTATCAAATGAGCCTTCACATTGGACTCATTTATCAAGCCACAGAAGAAAAACAAAAATGTATAATTTTGAAATGCTTATAAAAACTTATAATTTAAGATAAGTAGGGATACTGAACAGAATTCCAAAGTAAGGAAGGAAAGTAAATGTAGGAAATGTGTAGGAGATGAAAGTCTATCAAAGAAAGAGAAGTAATAATTGAATAATTGGAGGATGAAAGTGCTAATGATCAGCACTAAAGTCCCTCAGATTTAAAACCATCTGAAACTCCCTCCTTAGCAAAAGCACTTAATTTCTTACACCTGGAGATATTTATCAAGAATGTATCTCCACAGGAGCGCCTGGGTGGCTCAGTTGGGTGAGCATCAGACTCTTCGTTTCGGCTCAGGTCATGATCTTGGGATCATGGGATCAAGTCCTGTGGCAGGTTCCATACTCTGCACAGAGTGTGTGTCCCTCTCCCTCTGCTCCTTACCCTGCTCTCTCTCTCTCTCTTTCTCTCTCGATCAAATAAATAAATAATCTTTAAAAAAAAAATGTGTCTCCACAAATGGAGGGTTGCTGGAGGGTAGGTATGTGGGGATGGGCTAAATGGGTGATGGGTGTTAGGGAGGACACTTGTGATGTTACATATAACTGGGTGTTATATGTAAGTAATGAATCACTAAGTCCTACTCCCAAAATCAATATTACGCTATATGTTAACCAACTAGAATTTAAATAAAAACTTGAACAAAAAAAAGAATGTATTTCTAAACAAAACAAAACACAAAAACAAACAACAAAAGCAAAAAGAATGTTTCTCAAAATTTACCCTCAAAATCCAAAAAGGAAATACAATAGCTCTTTCTGGATATTCCCTCAATAAGAAACATGGATGGAATTGATCTAGTCCATTGGAAGTAGAGCTGCAGAACAGAATAATTCTTAAATTTCTCTCTTGATACTCTTTAAAATGTTCCTTTATAGTTAAAATAAATTATTTAGAAATTATGCTCCTATCTCTGCATTTTAAAGATGCTTTTAGTGTTGGGTTTTGTGGGTGGGGGGACAGGTGGGTGCAGAAATGAGATGAAGAGGAAATGGTGCCCATAGCAGGCTAAAGGCTTCAATATCCAACAAGCAACAGACTTAAGACAAAGCAAGACAAGACAAAGACCAGAAACCACCACCCACCACCCAGGCTGACAGGTGTCAGCCTGTCCAAAGCAGGACCACATCTACACGCGGGTGAGGGAGCTAGACCGGGTTGTAAATTGCCACAATCAATGGTGAAGAAAAACAAGATTACACAGAGCAAATGACACCCAGTCGGGATAATTCAGTTTGTCAATTCTGCTAGCTAATAAGCCTCCACTACAGTCTGATGTGTGGGGGAGGGTCCAACCTCGTCCATATAAAAGAATCAATCAATCCTAGAAGCCACCATCTTGGTCAGCTTTGGAGTACTGACCTACCCAGAGGCAAGAAGAGCTAAGGCTTAGAAGCCCCCCTTGGCACCCACCCAGCGCTCCTCCACCCTGAGGCCTTGGCTTCATCTGAAATCACAAAATAGACTTTTAAGTGAGATTCCAGACACACTGAACACAGTGTAGCCTGGCAGGGCTCTTGGAAGCTCAGAGGAGCTGCAACGGGTGTCTGGGAAGCACAGCTTGCCTGATTTTCAAATGCCACCGAGACTCCTCTTAGTTAACACCAGTGACAATCACTGCCTGAGATTTCTCAGGAATAAATGAACTCAGTTAAACAATCGCTCTTGTCTCTGTCTTTGGTCAAACCCCGTGCCGTGCTAACGTGATCTGCCTCATTCAACACAAGCTCTTGCACAGGTGGAGCCCACAGCACTTGGGCCAGTTTCAAATTAGCGGAGAAAAAGAGGTTATCACTCTCTCTTGACTTATTTACTTAGTCTGTTCTCTTGTAAGAAATAAATCTTGAGAAATCCTTGTATTGGTAGAAATGCATATAGTGAACATTAGCAGACATATCCAGAGCATCTTCACAGATTAAATAGAATGCTCTTTAGGCAACCATATAGTCAGCGCAAGTTCTTTTAATGGTGGAGGGCTGTTTCCACCGAAATCCTGCATCTTGCATACTTACTTGGGGACTGTTGAGTCCCACTTGTTCTTTGTTTTTCTCTAAGACAATGACTAGATCCGGTAAGCACTAAGGAGCATAAAAATCACATATTACACATCCTAATATCTTCTGTCCACAGAATATGTGACTCAGAAGTAAGAGCGAGTGAGATCACAACCTCTCAGGGAAAATCAGCAACAAATATAAGCTCATGGGCTGTGTGCACGGTTGACACGGTTGATTTGTGTATAACCGTGGATGCAAATGAAGGCAAACACCTCTCCATACCAGAGTCATTTTTAGAAAGCAGACAGCATTCTTGAAGGGCTGAATTGCTGTGTAATTAGAACGCATAAATGTAAAATAAAATGATCTTGGAAATAAGAGGTCTGGACAAACTCTTTCTCTGGAATAGGGTCATCTTCTTGGAGACAGAAATCCTGTGTCTTATGAGAAGAAAACCACTTTATAAAGTGGCAAAAGAAGAGCCAGATACGAAACTGTCGCTACAAAATTACTAGTCAGTGGTATTCGTTACTCTTAAAAATTAGTTGTCAATTGATTTATCCCTGGGGAAAAGATGGCATAAAAGAGTGGAGCTTACAGAGATAGAAGCAAGTTGTGGAAAAGCTTTGGAAACGTGGAAATACTGTTTGTGATGACCATAAGAAAAAGAGGGGGTGCAGAGGGGAGCGCAGTGAGGTGATCTCTGGAATAACAATACAAAGCAAGTTAAAAATCAAAGGACAGGATCCAGTAGGCAATTATCCAAATCCTGACAAAATCAACTTGGAAGGCAAGCCGAGTTATGCATGAAAAAAGTCACAGTCCCTTTCTTTGTTTCCAGCGCCCCTGAAGAGACATCAGGGTGAGGTGGGATGGAGCAGCAGCGGCGACCCCAGCTGCACTACGCAGCCGGCTGGGCTTCAGCGAGATACGCGAGAAAACCCCCGCGGGGCGCGGCCCCTCACCCCCGCCCCCGCCCCAGCGGCTCGTGGCGCCCCCTCCTGGCCACGCGCACACTGCGCGCCTAGGCTGACTCTGGGATTTCAGTCCCGAGGGAGACAGAGACAAGACCCTCTTTCTCGTGCTTTCACAAAACCTGAAAGATGGAGCCCCTCCAAGCAGCAGACAAAAAGTGATCCCCGAGCTTCGGCTCTTTGCTGCTGTACAGGCTCTTCTCCAGGAATAACTTAGCGACAGAGGAGGAAAGGTGGGAACTGGAGGCTAACCCAAAAGGTTCCCCCAGCGTGGAGCGCCCCCACGTTTCCAGCTTCATTTTAGAGTGGTGAGGGGTGGTTCGGTCGCTTCCGCGGCGGCTCGGGTTTGGGAATGGGTCGATGGAGTGCCCCCCCCCCGCCACCTCCACCACCTCCACCCACACCCGGGGAGGGGTATGGGCGGCGGGTAGGCGTCTCCGGACCTCCCGCTCCTCCCCTCCGCGTCCCTGCCCCCTGCTTCTCGGGAACACTGTGTGGCCGCTTTCCTCCAGCACGCGGCGCTGCGCTCGCTTTCGTCCGCGGAGCCGCGCGGGTTCGTGCGCGGCCAGCGGGGCTCAGCCGGTCCGCTGGAATTGAGGAGCATTCATTGAATCTGCGGCTTTCATGACGTCTCCCTGCGTGGCCCATCACTTTTCTCCCAGCCGGGTTTTTTTTTTTTTTTTCCGCCACTCTTGCCTTTTCCCCCTTCCCTCCACCGGGTCTGCCGCCCGCGTCCCTGCCCGACGCACACCCTCCCCCCCCCTCCTTTGACCCCGCGCCCAGCCCTCCTCTCCTCTCCTCTCGCGGCCAAAGGGAGCCAGTTTGCAGACGGCCGCACCTGGCCGGAGAGGTTGGGCGGGTGGAGGGGTGGGGATCCGCGGGAACCGGGAAGCCAGACCCAGAGCTGGATGCACCGCCAGGAGAATGGAGTCTCCTAACAGCCTCCCGGGGCTGATCTGAAATTTGACCGTCTGATTCCAGCTTTTCTTTCCTTTTCTTTTTTTTTATTTTCTCCCCTTACCATCCATCGTGTAGAGAATTATTAAATCTTGCTCCGTTCCAAGAGAGGAGATCATGATTGAGTGAAACCACCCTGTCCGCAGCAAGGTAAGCGGTGCGCTGAGTTGCTCGAAGGCGAGAAGCTGGCATCAATCTGGGCAAAAGGTTCCGTGCCCTCGGGTCCCCACCTTCCCTTCCCCAGTCTCCGCCGCCGCTGCATGCTCCACGCTGATGAGAAACATGATGCCCAAGTCAAGGGAAAGGCGAGGGAGAAGCCAGTTACATAACAGAAGGGAAATCTGTTTCCTACGGTTTTCATTAGCAACTGAAAACTCGCAAGGGGGGCGGGGAGAGGAGGGGTCTGCATGCCCTGGGCTCAGAGAAACCCAGTCAGTTATTGCAGACATCATTTCAACATACGTTGGCACAGAAGAAATGCACTGATTAACTGGCAGGGGCGGCTCGAGGTGTAGTCATTTACAGTTGGGAAAAGCCCATTGTCTTTATGGAAAGCTGTATCCTTGTTCTTCTTTGCATAGAGGAGAGAGACAGAGACGGAGACAGGGAACATGAGAAGGAGGAAAAGGAAAAGTGAGTGGTGGGAAGAAACAGGCAGAAAATGGGAAACAATAACTCCTGTTGTCTATCAGTAAAACCAGGGATGTGATATGATGGCTACAAATAGTGAATAGGAAGCTCTCCCTAGAAGTAAACTGAATTGTTTTGTAATTGGAAGGAAAAAGAAACCTTTTAGTTAAAATGAGATGTTTATGGCATTTAGGGAGTTGGACTAATCCCCTGACTTGATTCCTCCTGGGTATATTTTCATTTGCATCAAGACATTAAGCTTGAATTAGTTTTTTAACAGAAATAACATTAGTATTCCCCAAACCCAATAAAACCTTGGGTCGATCCACAGGTATATCTCTTGTACCAGCCTCAATATGGAGAGACACTTAAGGAGGAAAGATGTTAATAGAAACAGCCACAGAAATGGGGTGAGGTTAATGGAGAAACAAAATACCAGAATTTTCCGAAGAATCCCGCCTCCACTCCCAAAAAAGGAAGAGAGAGAGAGAGAGAGAGGAGAAAGGGAAGAAAAAAAAAAACTCCAATGTTTGGGAGTTAGAAATTCATTATATGAGTGTCTCCTGCTTGCTTTTATCCAAAGTCTGATGGTACTGGGGAGCCCCCACTATATAGGGTGTAATACCACATCTCTACTAGCTCTTCACCGTGCCTACCTTTCTTCTGCTGAAAAACAGAGGAGGGGGATACCCAGGAGCTGATTAGAAAGAAAAAGGGGCTTGCTGTAGTCAGGGCACAGCTAACTAAGCTTCGCCCATTTTGCCTGGAGAAAGAAAGAGCTGAGTCTCCATGGCGACCCAGGTGGGAGGGGAGAAGGCAGGTCCAATTACAACAAAAAACATTGGACAAAACTTTCCCAGCTTCAGGCGAAGAAATAAGCCAGCCAGGTATTCTGTGGAGGGTCCCAGGGTATTGGCTCTGCCCAAGTTCCTGCCCGCGACACGCAAGGGGGCTTCTAGAACTGGCCGACACCCACTCAAACCTCCCGAAGTTGTCCAGAGACCACTGAGATGGTTCAGGCAGCAGGTTTCGGATTCAGCACCAAGGCCAGAGCACAAGCGCCAGGTTCCCACCTCCCAGTCGGCTACCCCGAAAATGCTATTAGCTCCTTTGGTGACAGAAGTGATTACTTTCTATAAAGGAAAGGTTCTCTTGCCCGTGCAGAATCTGGATATCTGATTATCCACGGAATTGCGTGGGACAGAGAAGCTTGCAAATCATCCATTTCACGCATGGCGGTGCATCAGAGTAACTATTCAAAATCAAGAACACTGAAACAGCAAAAGATCCAAGCTGAACTGAGAATGGAGAATGATCCTGTCCTCAGGGGAGCAAAGGGGTGCGGCGCGCGCGTACCCACGCGCGCGCGCGCGCACACACACACACACACACCCCGGACCAGTCTCTGATGAGAGTTGCCTAGTTTCAGCCAAGTCCCTTTGGTTTCAAAAGCATCCATTCATTTCTTACCCTCTCACTGTCCTCTACACTTTTTATAGGGCTTGGATGACAGAAAGACTATGGGAGCACCCTGTCAGTGAGACACCAGTTAACCAAATCCTTTCTAGGGGTTCTGAGATCCTGGAGGGTAGAGAAATAAAATACTCTTAGTCCAGACCTGACAGACTTTCTAAAAAGAGCTGGTGAGCTCCAGGAAAGGGAAGAGAGTATGCTAGTGAGGTGAGAAGCAGTAACTGTATCTTTAAGCCAGCATGTGAGTAGGGCAGCTACATTTCCAAGGTTGTAGGGCATAGGAAACTGAGAGAGGGAGTCACTTCTTTTAATAGAAACAAGGAAGAAACTGTGCAAGAGGGAAGGATTTATTATCACTCGAGTTCCCTTTCAGCATTCATTGAGAGAAAACAGGTAAGTCTCTCTCGCCATTCTGCTTTCACCTGGGGCAAAGCTGGTCTCTGTCCTGCTGTCCTCATCTTTGGTCGTAGATACACACACACACCCCAGTACTGATAAGGAAAAATAGTAGAGGAAGGTGGCAGTCACATTTCTAAGAGATCGCTTTTATGAATAGCATCCAGGTGTTACAAGGCACATTTTGAATTGCAGAGCCCATTCAAAGTTTGACAACTGGTTGGAAATACTGACAGTGCATTTACAATACACTGGGCTGCTTTTCTTTTTTGAGAATGCCCTTATGTGTGTGTGTTTAGTCTTGAGCTGGTTCTGGTTTGTTCTCTATGAAGGTAAACAAGAGGAATCCTGATTTTCTTTGTTTGGCTTTCCAACTGTGGGCATGACATTGCTTTCTAAAGATGATGCATGTAGAGCACTCAGGACTTGGTTAAAATAGTGTGTTTATACCTTCCAGTTTTTGTTTTTTGTTTTTTGTTTTTTGTGATCTCTACTGATGGCAGAAGCAATCTATTCCAAACCTGGTCAAAAGATGAGATGTTATACTATTTCTTCCATTTCAATTTCTGATGGATATTGATAAGTTTATCCATGATTTAATTTATAAAAGAGTTGCTACCTAAAGTAGAGAGAAGTGGTGCATGGAGTACTGTTAGGACTTAAAACAACTGTACCTTGGCTTTGCTCCATCTGTATTATCAGCAGAAGAGAAGTAGAGATTAGTTATGAAGATAAAGCCATACAAGAATATAGGTCATTCCATAAAAAAGATCACTTATAATGTATTTGTGAGTTCTAAAGCTCAATTTCTCTCATGAATTTAAAAAAATGTAATTGATCTAGGTATAGAAAATTGCTCAATCAATGATTTTTAGTTCTGGTAGATTCTATGTTCATATATTCGGTGCTAATTTTTCAAAATAGGACTTGCTTTCTTCCTGGGTGGCTAATTGCTGAGCAAAGTATCATTATGCCCTGATGGCAGTGAATGGCATAAGCCAAAATAATTGGTCTACCCATTTCAAGTAAGATTTGTTAAGGAGACTTAAAATTAATCCCTGTGCAGTTGGAACCTTTTTATAATATTTTTAAAAATAATTTTGACACCTAACCCTGGTATTTCCTAAATGTCAGTAAATAATGTATATTAACTTTTATGACCCAGGTCTTTATTTAATATATAGGATTTACATAAGCTATTTCCTTTGAATATAAAGAAATGTTTTAATTCACTCTCAAATTCCCCCCATCTTACAAACTATATCTGCTTTATAGGATAAAAGAAAATAAGACATTAGAAGAGCTGTTTAATAAGCAACAGAAAAATTTATTGGCAATTAAAAATAAATAATATGCTCTTATTGAAACTTAATCCCATTCACTGATTTTAAGGGGTAGAAAGTGTTGCTTTTTTGAAGGGTTGAATCTTGATTATGTGAATCTTCATGGAAATAAGATAAAGCCTCTTTATCAAAATGGGCAAGTAGGCAAGGCTCTTTTCAATAGCTCTTACAAATGATATGTAAGCAATATGCAAATTAATAAGGGGAAAAGACTAGAGAGCATCAGAACAAGGGGAAGGAAGCTAGGGGAAAGGCTAGCATTTAAGGCTACTATGTTTTTACCAGCATTAAAGTAATGACACTTTTGAACCAAGGGTTTTTTTATTTGTTTGTCTTTTAACTCATTGTAATAGGATGTCAAGGTTTGTGGAACTGAGATGTTTAAATGTAAACAACTTTGGAATTATAGCTTATTGAGATGGCATTTATTGTTTCTTTATTTTCAAAGGTCATTTTAAATATCAAAGGAGAATTGATTCACTCTAGATTTTTTCAGAATTATTAAATTTGGTAATATCAATTAAAGAGAAATTGGTAGTTAAGTTGAAAAATCATCAAGACCCTTGTTGAATTAAGGTTTTCTTTCTAGTTGTAGTTTGTGCAGGGAGATAAAATAAAATGCAATCATTTGGGATAATACATTTTAAAATGTATATTAAATAATTGGCTCTAGAAATAATTAGGATCCTATACAAAGAAGAGATCATCATAATTGTAGTTAGTGCTCTAATGATACTCTGGTAAAGTACTAGAATATACACATACTTGATATCATTTTATTAGCACTAATTAATAACACAAAGTTATTTCCCTCAAATAAAGAAGGACAATGTCATCTTTTTTTTATTTGAGTCATATTTAGTTACTTGACATTTGTATACATTGTGAAGTGGTCATCACAATAAGTCCACTTACCAACTATCACCCTAAAAAATTAATAGAATGTTATTGATTATATTCTCCATGAACTATAGTATACAACCATGACTTATTTATTTTATAAGTGGAAGTTTTATTTCTTAATCCCTTTCACCTAATTCATTCCTACCAACCACCCCCACCCCCTGCAACCACCAATCTATTCTCTCTATCTATGTGACAGGGTTTTGTTAGTTTTGTTTTTCAGATTCCACATGCAGTATTTGTCTTTCTATGTCTGACTTATTTTGTTTAGCATAATACACTGATGACCCATCCATGTTGTTGCAAATGATAAGATTACATTCTTTTTTATGACTAAGTAGTATTCCATTGTATATATACACCACATTTTCTTTATTCATTCATTTATCAGTAGGCACTTACATT